TATATATATATATTACCTCCTTCAAAAGTTTGGGGTCGGTAAAATAAAAAAAAAGTTTTTGATAAAAGTTTCCTTTGCATTCATTTTTCACCAGTCTTCAGTGTCACATGATTCTTCAGAAATCATCCTAATATGCTGATTTGGTGTTCAAGAAAAATTGAAAACATAGTGCTGCCTAATACTTTTGTGAAAAATTAAGTACAGTTTTTTTTCAGGATTCTGTGATGAATAGAAAGTTTAAAAGACAGCATTTATTTTAAATATAAAACTTTTGTAACATTATAAATGTCTTTACTTTCACTTTTGATCAGTTTAGTGTAACAGAATGTAATACTGACACACTCTTACCATCAGATCTTCTAGTCCAGTACACAGAGGCCTGCTGACAGAGGGACTGGAGAGGTTCTTGAAGGGTGGAAGCTTCCACACGGCTGCTGGACAGCACTCCCAAAAACTCGGTGTGTTTTTCAGTCTGATTTCCCACCACCCAGACCTGACGAACCTGTGAGAATCATGACATATCTCACTGTGTATCATCGCCGACTAAATTATCCTCTAATGGTGTGATACAGAGTCACTATAGCTGGTCCTGTGTAAACGCATACACTGTATAACCGATCATATAATTGTGTCTTGAAGGGTTTAAGTGTGTCCTCTAGCACAAAAGGCATTTGTAATTACACCACTTACTCCTCTGAGAGATCAGATAGACACTTGTTAAAGCAGAGTAATGGCAGTTTATGCTTCTCAATAGCTCATTGTGCACCAAAAATTGGAAATCTTGTTCAAAAGGCTATTGACCACGGATTGAGTTTCCAAAAACTTTTCTAATGGCTTTAATCAAACGCAATGATGCAAAAATCTCAACTGAGACCAAGATTTTAAGTGGTCAGCGATACTTATCGGTTCATCAACCCATCCCGCTCTGCACAGCTCATAACCCAACGCATGAATCAACTTGTTAAGTGCTGAGAGAAGTGTGTCCAACACAGGTCTCTGCTCTATTTGCGGAAGGGAGCTCTGTCTTTCCAGTGGTGACTTATAAGAGGAAAAAGCCAACAGAGTGGCCATTGTGCACCATGTGGTCCCATCCTGTAATGCGATCCAGCCAAGGTGGATCAGATGGTCTGTGGAATTCGGACTCGGCTACACTAAAGCCCTCCTGAGCTGGTGCGGTCCATTACTCCCTTTCTGGAGTCACGGAGGAGAAAGCAGCCAAAAGAGCTCTCTAATCTACCAAAGAGCACTGGGGTGGTGCCGCGTTCAAGTGTCAGTCAGTTTGCCAGCCACCTTTATGTTTTAGGTACACATGGTGCATAAGGTCTCAAAAAGCTGCTGCGTCCAAAAGAACGAGATCCAGTTAAATACACCAAAGCAATTCTCATTCATTTGGTAAAAATAGGATACTTGACAGTTTATTCCTGTGAGGCAAAGGTGAGTTTTCATTTTCAAGTGCCACATGATCCTTCAGGAATCATTCTAATATGCTGATTTGATAACATTTCTTATCTTTATCAATATTAAAAAAGCAGCATTGCCTAATATTTTGTGGAATCCATTATACTGTTTTTTCCCCCTATTCTTCGATAAATAAAACATTTAAAACAACACATCTTTTGTTACGTTGTAAAATTATTTACTGTCACTTTTGTTTAATTTAATGCATCTATGCTGAATAAAATATTAAATTTATTTCATTATAATAATAATAATCTTATTGACCTAAACTTTTGAATAGTACACTCTCAAAAATAAAGGTGAAGAACTTTTAACATTCATGGAACCTTTCCACTGGACAAAGGGTTCTTTATAACAGAAAAAGGTGCTTTAGATACTTAAAATGTTCTTCACACTAAGAAAATAAATAGTTATTTTAAGAAATGTTCTTTGAGGAACCCAAGATTCTGACGTGGCATGACTGCATGAAAAAAAACCTTTTGGAACCTTTATTTTTAAGAGTGTAGTGTATATATTTAATATAAAGTAATATTGTAAGGTTAGTTTTCCATAATCATACCATCTGATCTTCTGGTCCAATACAAAAAATAGGAGACTCAAGCAGAAATCCTTTACCTGTTGCTAAAAATAAAGGTGAAGAACTTTTAACATTCATGGAACCTTTCCACTGGACAAAGGGTTCTTTATAACAGAAAAAGGTGCTTTAGATACTTAAAATGTTCTTCACACTAAGAAAATAAATAGTTCTTTTAAGAAATGTTCTTTGAGGAACCCAAGATTCTGACGTGGCATGACTGCATGAAAAAAAAACCTTTTGGAACCTTTATTTTTAAGAGTGTAGTGTATATATTTAATATAATGTAATATTGTAAGGTTAGTTTTCCATAATCATACCATCTGATCTTCTGGTTAGACAAAATAAACAGTAGCACAAAAATAAAAACGTATTTCCCTTATATTACCTAAAATAAAAAATAGTGGGTTATTTAAAAAAGAGGTAGGCCAGTTTGAAATGAAGCCTTGATGACAGTAAATCATACTGCATACATGTAGAGATGAACGATTTCTATTTAGATTAACTATAATATTAAAATACTGGTACCCATATATTGATAAATAATATTCTCTATTAAAGTGGGTGAAATCTAAGTAAACACTGACTATGTTTGTAGAGCAGGTAAAATATCAGCAATGCTGTTTATATAGTAGTCAGGCACCATTTTTTGCTGATGTGGACATTGGCTCTTCTGGTTTGCCTGGGCTTCTGCTACAGTAGAAACTCCTGTAAGGGTCAGCAAGGTCTTCAGGCCACAGTTTGAGCCTAGCATGATGTCAGTGTCCAGTCTATCTCCGACCATCAGACACCTCTCAGGGTCCAGACCGAACTGGCTGGCCACACACTCGAACATGAAGTTGCTGGGTTTTCCGACCACTTGAGCTTGGCGTTGTGCAGCGGTCTCTACCGCCCTTAGGAGGCACAGACAAAATAAACAGTAGCACAAAAATAAAAACGTATTGCCCTTATATTACCTAAAATAAAAAATAGTGGGTTATTTAAAAAAGAGGTAGGCCAGTTTGAAATGAAGCCTTGATGACAGTAAATCATACTGCATACATGTAGAGATGAACAATTTCTATTTAGATTAACTATAATATTAAAATACTGGTACCCATATATTGATAAATAATATTCTCTATTAAAGTGGGTGAAATCCAAGTAAACACTGACTATGTTTGTAGAGCAGGTAAAATATCAGCAATGCTGTTTATATAGTAGTCAGGCACCATTTTTTGCTGATGTGGACATTGGCTCTTCTGGTTTGCCTGGGCTTCTGCTACAGTAGAAACTCCTGTAAGGGTCAGCAAGGTCTTCAGGCCACAGTTTGAGCCTAGCATGATGTCAGTGTCCAGTCTATCTCCGACCATCAGACACCTCTCAGGGTCCAGACCGAACTGGCTGGCCACACACTCGAACATGAAGTTGCTGGGTTTTCCGACCACTTGAGCTTGGCGTTGTGCAGCGGTCTCTACCGCCCTTAGGAGGCACCCTGTCCCTGTAGACACGCGGAAGACAAGGTCGTTGTGATAACACGCCATTCGGTAATACATATTTGTGATGTCATTCATATCTGTTTACCCGGGACCGCTTTGCCTCCCTCCAGAGGCAGCCTCGTGTCCGTGTTAGTTCCCACGAACTGACAGTCGGGGTTACAAAGGTACTGCAGAGCTCTATTGAGCTTCATGTAACTGAAATGTTCATCAAAACCGACCAATACAGCTTGGACCTGCTTATCGAGAGGCACATTCGCCCAGTCTTTCTGAACTCCTGAGACGGGGTCAGGTCCCACACCGACCGGCCGGATTCCCACGTCCTCGAGCTCCTGTCTCATCGCATTGCTCCCAATTAAATAGACTTTTCCGTCGAGTTTACATACATTTTTGAGGTACACCGCCGAGCAGTACGCTGTCCCGAACACCTCGTCCGCGGTGGCATCGAAACCGAGCTTGCCTAATTTATCCGCGTACATTTGTCGGGTTTTTGTGCTGTTGTTTGTTACAAAAAACACCCGTTTTCCGTTTTTCTTCAGTGAACTGATAACCTCAGGGGCTCCGGAGATGGCTTGGTCCCCTCTCCATATTACGCCGTCGCAGTCAAATAGTACACAGTCCACCGAGTCCAGTAACTGTCTACTCAGAGCAGCAGTCAGTTGCGTACATTTAGATGCAGCCATTCTTCAAGTTACTCTCGACCTCAAAGCAATCTTCTTTCTTGTCCTCGGTCCGTCCTAAAATAACCTAACCCTAACCTCTCTACGAATTGTCGGCTGACTAGCCAGAGATAAGCTTATGTCAGGGGATAGAGAATGACATGGAACTGGAAATTACTAGTTGCGGCACATTACCTTGTACAAGTGATTCATTCGTTTGACATTGTACGTGACGTTTTACACTAGTAAGGCACTTCCGCACCGGTTTAAAGGGCCAGTGCCCCTAATAAAATGGAATGAAGTAGACCTTCGTCCAAGTAGGCGCCATTTAAAAAAACTTTTTTGAACGAAAACGGGGCTGTGAGGAAAACGTGTATTTTACTCATATAGTGTTGAAGGGATGACTTATTCTTGTAGAGCAAAACCCGGAAACAAGTTAGCATTTTAGCACTTCCGGTTCCATCGTCCCGAAGTTGATAGGTTTTTGGTTAAATGCCTGAGATAAGGTCTGTGGTTAACACAAGCTCAAGATATTTTTAAATCTTATTCTGTGACATAAAATACATAATTATTTGTGATTTTATATAAATGTTTTACTTGTCTTGAAAAAGGCGTTTTTTAACAAGTGGCTAAATGGGACTACAGAGATTGTCGGGGACAGGGACATTAAGCATTAAAGTCATTTTTAAAGTTTTCTTTTTGTTAAATACATAGTTGTCAGAAATGTAGTGATGGTGATGTTAAAGTCATGCGAATGGTGTAGCTTGTTTATAGCCCACATTTAGCTTTTACTTCTGGGGATTGCATTGAGTCTTCAAAATTCATAAAAGTTGTGTTCATTTGTGAAGATTATCATGATGAACAAAACACAGAGCTTTTATTGGTCGCGGCTGCTTTTTTTGAAAGAAAAATCCAAATGCCAATTGAAAAATCTGGTTAAAGGTTAAAGATAACAATCAGGATGTTACCCCTGTTGGTTTTGTTGGGATAGATCTTTGGAAGATTCTGTATTCTTCAGGAAGGAGCATAAGGTGAAAGTGATAATTTGACTAATTTGATTAATCTGAGAAGATAATTCAAATATTTCATAAACATAAAACCTTTATCTCCCTAAAATAATTTTATTCACCACCTCAGAAGTGGATAAAGAGCTTTGGATGTATCAAGCTAAAGACCTGATTAACTTTAACCTGCAGTTTTCCCCCATAATAGAAATGTTGCGAAATCCTCCCTACATTGCAATGCTCTCTGAAATGCATAATGAAAATTGATACGCAAGGTAAAAGTAGCATTTTCATTTCAATGTATTTTTTACTTTTTTAATTAGAACTCCAGGCATCCTCTCCTGTTCATTTTATTCTTCTTATGTCCAACACAGTCCCATGGCAATTCGTAACTACTTTCTATTGCATAAGTATATCTGGGACAGTTGAAATGTAGCTCAGGAGCATTCATATCGCTTGTAGATGTAAAGATAACCTGTGGCAAATTCAATTGAATGGATATTATTTGGAAAGGCACACACCTCTCAATAAAAGGTCTAACAACTGAAAATGCGTATCAGAGCAAAAACCAAGCCCTGAGGTCAAAATAACTGCCTGTAGAGCTCAAAAACAGGATTGCATCAAGCCACACATCTGGGGAAGAGTTCAGAAAAAATTCTGCTGCATTGAAGGTTTGCAGAAGCATGTAGTCTCCATTACTCTTGGAAGAAGTTTGAAACAACCAGGACTGTTCCTAGAGCTGGCCTCCTGGCCAAACTGAGCTCTTTTTTTGAAAGAAAAATCCAAATGCCAATGGAAAAATCTGGCCAATAAAAGGTCTAACAACTGAAAATGCGTATCAGAGCAAAAACCAAGCCCTGAGGTCAAAATAACTGCCTGTAGAGCTCAAAAACAGGATTGCATCAAGCCACACATCTGGGGAAGAGTTCAGAAAAAATTCTGCTGCATTGAAGGTTTGCAGAAGCATGTAGTCTCCATTACTCTTGGAAGAAGTTTGAAACAACCAGGACTGTTCCTAGAGCTGGCCTCCTGGCCAAACTGAGCAATCAATGGAGAAGGGTTATGGTTAGACTGGTGACCAAGAACCTGATGGCCACTCTAGTTGAGCTCTATGATCATATGTGGAGAGATAGTAGAAACCTACAGAAGGACAAACATCACTGCAACACTCCACCGATCTGGTCTTTATGGTGGTGTGGCCAAACTCAATCCTCTCCTCAGTGAAGGCACATGAAAACACACTTAGAATTAGCAAAAAAGCACCTAAAGAACTCTCAGATTGTGAGAAACAAGATTCTCTGGTCTGATGAACCACAATTCCAAGCATCATGTTTGAAGGAAACCAAGCACTGCTCATCACCTGCAGAGTAGCATCCCAAAAGTAAAATGTGCTGGTAGCAGCCTCATGCTGAGGGGCTGTTTTTCAGTGGCAGGGATTGAGGGACTCGTCAGGGTAGAAGAAAAGCTCAATGCACCAAAATATTGAGATAGCCTTAATGAAAACCCAGTCCAGAGCATTCAGAACCTCAGACTGGCCGGAAGGTTCACCTTCCGACAGGACAATGACCCTAAGCACACAGCAAGGGTGGCGTATAGACAACTCTGTGAATGTCCTTGAGTGGCCCAGCCAGAGCCTGGGCTTGAACCCAATTAAACATTTCTGGAAAAACCTGAAAATGTGCATCTGCCCCATCCAAACTAACAGAGCTTGAGAGGTGAAGAGGTGAGGACAAGAATGGCAGATAATTGCCAAATGCTGATGTGCAAAGCTTGTTACATCAAAAAGACTTGAGGCTGTAAATGTGCTTCAACTAAGTACTGAGTTAAGGGTACAAATACTTATGCAATGTACTTATTTTATTTTTTTTAATAAATGTAAAAAGTTTTGAAAATTCTGATTTTGCTGTGTCATTATGGTGTGTAGAGTGTAGATTGATGTGGGATTTAAAAAAAAAAATTAAGGGGTATGAATACTTTCGCAAGGCACTGTAAATAATAATAATATATACAGTCATGGCCAAAAGTTTTGGCAGTGACATAAAGTTTGTGTTTTGCAAAGTTTGCTGCTTCAATATTTGTAGATAATTTTTTATTTACACAAATTTCTATGGTATACTGAAAAACAATGATAAGCATATCATAAGTTTTAAAGGCTTTTATTGGCAAAAAAATATAATGAGTCAATATTTACAGTGTTGACCCTTGTTCTTCATAGCCTCTGCAATTTGCTCTGGCATGCTGGATATTAGCTTCTGGGCCAAATCCTGACTGATGGCGATCCATTCTTGCCTTATTAGTTCTCGGAGTTGATCACAATTTGTGGGCTACTGCTTGTCCACTCGCCTTTTGAGGACTGACCACAGGTTCTCTATGGGATTGAGATCCAGGGAGTTGCCTGGCCATGGATCCAAAATTTCAATGTAATGATCTTCGAGCCACTTCTTTATCACTCTTGCTTTGTGACATGGTGCTCCATCATGCTGGAAAATGCACGGATCATCACCAAATTGCTCATGGATCGTTGGAAGAAGTCGCTCTTGCAGGACGTTTTGATACCATTCTTTATTCATGGCAGTGTTTTTGGGCAGAATTATGAGAGAGCCCACTCCCTTGGTTGAAAAGCAACCCCACACATGGATGGTCTCAGGATGCTTCACTGTTGGCACAACACAGGACTCAAGATAGCATTCACCTTTTCTTCTCCAAACAATCGATTTTCCAGATGTCCCAAACAGTCGGAAGGGAGCTTCATCAGAGAAAATAACTTTGCACCAGTCTTCTGCTGTCCAATCCTTATACTTCCTGCTGAATTTCAGTCTGTCCTTGAAGTTTTTCTTGGAGAGAACTGTCTTCTTTGCAGCCCTTCTTGACACCAGGCCGTTGTCCAGAGGTCTTGGCCTCACTGTGTGTGCAGATGCTCTCACACCAACCTGCTGCCATTCCTGAGCAAGCTCTGCACTGTTGGTGACACGATTCCATTGCTGACTCCTCAGGAGGAGACGGTCCTGGTGCTTGCTGGACTCTCTGGGACGTCCTGAAGACTTCACTGCAGTTGAACCTCTCTCCTTGAAGTTCTTGATGATCCGGTAAATGGTTCTTTCAGGTGCAATATTCTTTGTAGCAATTTCCTTGCATGCGAGACCATTTTGATGTAAATCTATGATGGCTGCACGTGTTTTTTTAGAGGTAACCATTGCTAACAAGAACACAATGATTGTTTTTATCTCCTTTTATAGCAATCAGTCTGCTCTTACAATCTAATTAGTATGATAGTGATTTCAGGCCGTTGTCCAGAGGTCTTGGCCTCACTGTGTGTGCAGATGCTCTCACACCAACCTGCTGCCATTCCTGAGCAAGCTCTGCACTGTTGGTGACACGATTCCATTGCTGACTCCTCAGGAGGAGACGGTCCTGGTGCTTGCTGGACTCTCTGGGACGTCCTGAAGACTTCACTGCAGTTGAACCTCTCTCCTTGAAGTTCTTGATGATCCGGTAAATGGTTCTTTCAGGTGCAATATTCTTTGTAGCAATTTCCTTGCATGCGAGACCGTTTTGATGCAAAGTGATGATGGCTGCATGTGTTTCTTTGGAGGAAACCATTGCTAACAAGAACACAATGATCGGAAGCACTTCTTCTCTCCTTTTATATATATCAGTCTGCTCTTACAATCGAATTAGTATGATAGTGATTTCACCTGACTAGTACTCATTCACACTTTCACATGTGTTGCTGATATGATTAGTCGGTAACACTTTACAATACTGGTGCACAAATAAGCATTAATTCATTCTTAACTAAATGCACAGATAATCATGAGTTAATGGACGACTTATTAAGAACTAAATCATTCATTAATGATTACTCCATCAGCAACTAATAAAGAGTCTATCTGATTAATAGATAATTAAAAGTGTCATCATGTATTAATTCCTTAATAACATATAGTATTAACTAATTATGTAAATTAATGTGTTAACTACCACAATGGGTCAAAACTATGCATTTCCAACTTCCAGATGCCTGCTTTAATTAATCATTAGGTAATGATTTGCAAAGATATCATGTTATGACTTTACTTGTTGAGGCACATGACAATTAACTCATTGTTAAGTAATATGTCATTATGGTTAGGAGTTTTGCTATCCCCACCAAAGTTTGAGGTCTGTGGGACTGTTTGGACAGTTGCACAGTGAATGTAATGTCACAGAA